TCCTCCGCTGTTACCGTCGTGGTCGTTTTCATCACTGCCACCACCATCGTGGTCGTCTCCACCACCGCCACCGTTGCCGTCGTGGTCGCCGTCGGCGTCGCCGCCACCGTTTCCGTCGCTGTCACTGTCGCTGTCATCTTCGCCGTCGCCGTCGTGGTCATCGTCGTCGTCGTTGTCGTTGTCGTCGTCGTCGTCATCGTCATCGTTGTCGTCGTCATTGTCCTATCGCCGTCTCCGGTGTAGCCATATTCTCGTGTGTGTTCTTGTACCGGCCCTGTAGGAGTACGCGCGCGCGCGCACCCTTTTCATTCGGTGGAGGGGTGGCGTCGATCTTTTCCTCATCGATAAGAAGAGAAAAAGGAAGATCGGCAGAAGTGGCAGGGAATAACGAGGAGGGCAAGTCACGTGTGTCTTTCTCGTGGTGTGTCATGGGGTGCTTTGGCAGCCAGAGCAGTAAGGCCAGTCAGGATGATTCGAAGAACCAGAAGAGACGCTCGGATGCCATTACCAGGCAACTGCAGAAGGACAAGCAAGTTTATCGAGCTACTCACAGGCTCCTCTTACTCGGTAAGCAATATCTTTTTTTTTTTGTTACTCATTTTTTTATTATTTTTATTTTCATCATTATTTCCGTCTATTTCGATCACGAAGATTCGTATAAGCATATTCGTGACATTTGCCCGACTAAATTTATCCATTAACGCGATTGTGGATTTAACGAGGTACAAGCCTTTTGCGATATATTGCTTTTTCGCGCATTTCATTTATGCGTGTACGTACTAACGAATGATTCATTTATTCAAGCGCGTATGTACGTACAAAAGAACAAATATGTGCAAGATTTGATAATAAAAATGACGCGATGATTCTACCGAGGGATATCGCATAACACACTGATTTTCAATCGAGTCAAATAATGTAGAAAATACACTTAACCAAAATTCCATTATGAAAACGTAAAAAGAATAACAAGTATATTGTCTCTCTGTCTGTCTGTCTCTGTCTCTTTACTAACGTAGAATGACACGCTACAACAAACAACAATTCTCTTCCAATTGGTGTTTGTAGGAAAACGCGGGATGTTCGTAATTGAATCAGGGTTTCGTTAAAAAGGAAGGAGAGCGCATCTTATATCTTCTCTTAGTCGTCGCGTCAATGTATCTCGATAGTGAACGAATTTAAATATAAATATCGATTTAGAATAACCTCTACTTGCTAATTACAAGACGTTTCTTCTAACTATGAATCTTTTATGGGAAGCAGAGCCGAGGGAAGGGGAAGGGGGTTGGGAGAATTTGTCGAGGGAACTTAAAACATTAACTCACATCAGACGGCTGGCAATCGCTTTCGGACAAAGACGCGCGTCCGTTGAGGACAGGCCGAACATTATCGTGATGTTCATCGGCGCGTTATTCGATTTTATCGATTATCGTATGAGCCGGCACCCACGAATATCCCAACCGCTGTTTGTGTCGTACCTTTTTTATGCTCTCTCTCTACCTCTACCTCTACCTCTACCTCTACCTCT